AATCCAGCCGACTCGTCACTAAGTGGACAAGCATGTCATCCCACTGCTTGACAGGACGACCGAGAGACTCCAAAGCATTCAACGCTTCAGCTACAGAGTTGAGAAGTGCGTTGTATTCCCTGGCTGAGCGGTTGATGACTTTTGGAGCAGAGAAAAGCTTCTCCAACTGGGTGGAGATGAGCAACCTCTCGTTGTCGTACCTGGCCAAGAGAGTGTTCCAAGCTGGCATGAAGGAGTCATGGGTTACTGGCAAGGTAGAGATGAGCTGCTTAGCCTCGCCAGTGAGAGAAGTGAGCAAATAGTGGAACTTCTCCACGGTCGAGAGAGCGGGATTCCCAACCACCATTGAGAGGAAGAGATCCTTGTATGGAGTCCACTCCGAGAAGTTCCCTGAGAAGGTCGGGAGAGAGATTTTAGGTAATTGCCTATGAGTCACTTGCGCCGATTGAGATGTGACAGATGGACGACGAAATGACTCCGAGAGATCAATTGACTCATCCAGTCCCTTGATGAGTCCCATGAACGTAGTTCGAGCAGCGGAGTACATTCCGAGACATTTATCGTACACCTCCTCCTTCACGTAGGCATGATCGAGAACCTCCTCGTTGTCCTTGGCTGTCAGCAGCTTGAGATGTAAGGCGTCAAACATGTTCCAATGGTTTTCCAACATGTCGAGCTTAGATTGGAGTTCAGTCACCGAGAGCTCGTGCACACTTTCGGCGACTGATTCAATCCTCATGTTCTCAATAAACTTCGCCCTACTGGCCTGGATCAAAATTCTGCCCTTGAATGACATGCTTACGCTAGAGAAGTGCTAGGAAGCGTAAGAAGTGAGAAAAGGCTAAAGCAAAATCACACAAGCAAGCGAGAGCAGAGAAAAGACAGCCAGCAGCACCTTCAGCAACTACGATTGAATTGAGCAATACAAAAAAATAACTCAAAATCAAGCAGAGAAAATCAACAGCTTCGCACTCCAAACAGCAGCTACCAGCAGCACAAACAGGAAAAGTTGATAAAAATGAGATATAATTGACTTCCCTTTGAGAAGGTCTGGTAGCAGCAGAGATGTTCCGACGGCAAAGCTGTAGGCCTAAAATTCACGTGCCGAGCGTGAAAACAGTCAGTTTCCTCAGGTGCGGGCGTGGCCTAGTGGGTGGAGTCTCGCAGAAGTAGAGATGGGCGGAGCGGTAGGCGGCACAGTAGGCGGAGCAGCTGACAGGGCGGTGAGCAGAGCGATCGAGTGTTGGCGTCACAGCTGAGTTTCGCGCCTTTTTCGAGGGATGCACTCACAAAACTCAGTTCAGTTTTTTTCGGAAAACACTCACTTAACCACGTAATCCGGCTCGAAGGACCAAATGTTACGGCGAGAACGTCAAAAAAAACCGTAGAGCACTGGGATGTGGTTAAGGAGAGGTTTCGAGAGAAATAATCGTGACGCGAGACGCACTGAA